ATCCCATGCCATGAGCACCCAAGAATGCTGAATGGTTTTTGCAATTTCTCGTTTATCCCATGCCATGAGCACCCAAGAATGCTGAATGGTTTTTGCAATTTCTCGTTTAACTCGGTTGTATTAAAATCTTAGCTTTTATATTTATAGACACATTCTTTCTCTGATATCTTTTACTACAACCTCTTAGCCTTCAATCAGAAATAAAAGGATGGGAACTGCTAATGTGTTTACCCTCATGACTAAAGGCTGGATCAGACTTATCGACATACAGTCTTAAGTTGTCCAGTTGTAAAGACAACAAGTCAATTTAAACTTTTTCGCAAGGGCATTGGAAATATCAAGTTACAAGGGAAACATTTCATTTAAAAGAGCTTTAAGGTGCTTAAAACTCCATCCAAACGGACTTTCAAATGATTTTGTAMTTCTTTCTTTTTTAYCTGGACAACTTTTTCAAGAATTTGGCTGTATATACTTATTTCAAATAAGATGGCAAATGGCAATTGTCGAAGGGAAATTGCTACTGAAAGGAGCCATGGTTTGATTTTGCCAAAAATGACAAACAGCTACAATAATAACTGATTTGTACTGTAAGATCGATGCCAGGGAGAATGCACGACCGAAAGGGACTATGRTTACACTATTTTGCATTCACCTTATATAGAAATGGAGATTAAATGGAGGCAATGWTTACCACAGACTATCTTACAGTACAAATCAGTTGTTATTTTTCATCAATAGCTGACTTGCGRATTTTGCCTCAGTATAGTCACACACAAAGGAATCAAKACTAGGCGCCGTGCATCAAAGCTCAGTCATTCGTAAAAACACGATARTTTTTCACGATTTACTTAGCTTTGAGCATGGCGCCTCGTCTTGTTCCTTTTGTCTTTGACAACTGAGGCAAAATTCGCAAATCGTCCATTAGCAAAACCCATGGCTCCTTTCGGTCGTGCAAAYGCCAGTCGACAATTGATATTCGCACTTTTGTCCGACAACCTTTTTTTGAAATACGTATATACTCTTGTACTCGGTGCGTATTAAAGTTCTCTAATAAAGGATCAGCACTTGAATCTTAAGGATACCCACATACCTCCGTTTAGCAATCGATTCAAAGGGACATGGTCCACCAGCATTCCATGCGGTCATGCTTTAGATTTTTCCATTGAAAATGCACGGTRACTTCATGATCAAATATCCATTCGCAATCCGTTCCCATGCATCCGTCGCTTTTAAGGTCGAATCTTACAATCTATCCATTCACGTACCCGAAAGGGATTCTATAAGGTTTTTGCTTATATTACGATGAATCTTTATTTCCAACATACAAAATATTCCCTCGAAAGGGATGACGATGGACCTTTAGTAGCCGCCCCTGTGTCGCTAAGAAAYGCTACTCTGTTGCTATAGGAGGCTACGAGGACGATTAATTGAATGCTTCCCGTTTATCATTTCTCTTTTMCCTGTTTGTCTATTATTCTTCCTCTCTAATTCAGTCACAAATCAATAATGGTTAAGTAGAATTCTACTTTGCATTTTGATGAATATTGATACCGGAAAAACTGAAGAGCTCTTTTTTAGCAAATTAAATTGAAGTCAAAAAGACTTTCGGGTGCAATTATCTATTTCCTGATCGTATACAGTGTTGAAAAGAAAGARCAAAACCAATCAGAAGAAAATATGTATCGATCCTTTTAAAGAGCACAACTAAGTATCATAGGTGCTGCTGTTGTTATGCAGGTCACATTTAAATACGAGCAAGTTTCGTTGCGTGCTGTGGCGAATATAGCTATAAGGGTCGGTTTGCACTTCKTCACATAWGCAGYAGAAACAGAGGCAGAAGGAGGAAGAGGAAAATTGAAAAGTTGTCATTTTGTTATGCTTCCGACTTCTGTTATGTTTTGTMCAGCATKATTRAAAAACCCCTTTCTTCTGCTWTTGTCGTAGTGTGATTCGACTCTAACATGTGACGCTTATCGCTCAGCGGTGTCCACAGTAGCAAATACTGCACTGCTCTACTCCGCGTAAATTATAATTATTCATCGATCAAATAATGCATCACGCAATCTCATGTGCGCGCGGCGTCATGCAATCTCAAAAGTGCGTGACCAACGCACTTTTTGGTCAGTCTCCGTATTGCGTTACAGACGCTAACAGCCACATTTCAAAGCTAAGCGGTACAAACTGATAATAGAGTGCACCTTGTTTGAAATATTCATTTTTTCCACAGGATTCAGGCGCTGCTTAGCTTGGGGCTTAGGAAATCTCCATCAAAAAGCTACAGTTTTAATAGGCTTCCAGGGATCCTGCTAATGTTGTTATTCACTCCCAAGCCTGTCTGGCGCCATCACGTCGTTTAACCGTTKTCATCAATGTGGTGCTTTTTTGGGCCGTAGAAACATCGCACAAGAAGCAAACAGGAAACGAAGAAACAGCTAAATTATCATTTATATCGAGGACCTGGACTTTTATGCGTCCAAGGAGCCCAAGGAAAAACTACCCATCCACTGACGTAAGTGTTTTAAAAGATAAAACATTAAAATGTATTTTTGGTTCGCTTTTTGATTTCTTTTATTCAGTATTGTAAAACGCAATGATTTGTACACTGCGGCAGAMGTCCCAAATTTATTCGACTTTTTCTTAAAAGAAACGGATAAAAAAGCGCCAAAATAAATATTGAGTAATTATTGGTTCTAAAAATCAATATTTTAAGGTTCATTTTTTTTAATGAAATAACTTTATAATTAATCATGTAACTTATCCACAATATGTTATCTGTATTTTTTTTAACCAACTATGTTTTTCTCAAGATAAAATAAATTCAGATTCGTAACATTTTCGTTTCCTTTGAATACGGATTTGGAACGATCGATATATCGGAGACAGTAGTAATCTAACAAGCTTACTTTTAGTATTTAAATCAAAACATTTCGCAAATTAAAAGTAATAAAAGCCGAATTCAATGTTAATCCTTCTATTTTGTTGTAAAGAATCTTATGTAAACTTTGGAAAAATGCATGTTTATTTTTCATGTTTTCAAAACGTAATTCTACCTTGACATAATCTCATTCAGCTAAAATGTTTCTTACAGCATTAACACATATTCTACAGTCAAAAAACAGATAACTGCTTTATTAGAAATTAGTATTAAATAGTAATAAAACTGCAGCAACAAGAGTGATTATTTAAAAAAAAAATCCACGACAAATTACATGGATTTGATTGGGCGTTAATTCTACAGCCGGCCGACGAGGACAAACGGATTTCAGCTTGGTAAATACCACTTCACAATGCCTAAATATCTCAGAATTCAGTAATTAGAAGCTTTTCGTGTGAAAGGCAGGTATTTAGAAAATCCTATAGCTTCTTTAGGCGCGCTAAAGAAGAATTTTAAGTAGTTTTGTATAGCAAAGAGACAAATGTCTGCTACGTTTACATARACAAAAGCATCTTCACAGCGGTGTGGAGATGTTCTTTCATGAAAGTCAGGAAAATGAAAGACGTATTCTAGAGAGGCAATTCACTCAGAACTAGATGAATTTAGCCTTAAAACTATTGTCAGTCCTGATAATAACTTCGAAAAGGTCAAGTTGTTCCGTTCAAGGCAGTTATCTCCGGATATCTGCACGAAATTTCTTTATTTTTGTGCATTGTAAGTCAAYTGTCTATATAACTTGACGCTCGATGAGGAAGTGCCTGTCAAAACCACTGCTTCTTTTGTCACAATATTGAATTTTTTTCCCTGACAAAACTAAGTTTCCTTAACCCACTGAAAAACTAAAACAGAACAAAGATATGAATAAAAAAAAACAAAAAACAAACAAACAAAGAAAAAAATACTACAGGAACAGCGAAGCAAACTTGAAATGGCTGTCAAATCTTGAAAACATACATAATGTCAACAATGCGTCATTTGCATGAAATCTTGTTTAACTGGGCAATACCTCCTACCTTGCAAGAAATATTTCAATATAGGATTATTTCGTTGTCTGAATAACAGGTGTGATATCAAYTGAAAATTCATCTAGTTTTTCCTTCGCATACGACAAAAGGTCATTCTAGTTCGAGATAAAATTCGCAGTATTTGCACTTCATTGTAATGTGCATGGTATTTACAAAATTCACAACTTTTAAAAAGGAGAAAGCATTGGTAGCCAATTACCGTTAATTTACCTGGCCAACACAACCTTGCGATACACTGAGAAAACCACTTATTTTCTCTCTCTCTCTCGAGTGAGGAGAATATGAAATTCTGAAAACGCTTCACAGAAATCCTATTAACACATTTCATGTTCTAGTGACACGGTGATCTTTATTTCTGAATTGGCAACGTGCAGTGAAGCCATTTTTTTTTTAGCTTAACATTACATAATGAGATCTCTAGCTCTTCTCTATGGCTGCTMAAGACAAGCCAAAATAGTTAAGTTGTCTATTTTATGTTAACAAGCTAACACAAAAAAAAAAACTAACAAACGTGGCTCTTAATATAAAAATTATTTCAAAACTAACATTCTAGCGTTCTAACGTTAATTAAAATTAGCCTCGACTCGACCATCGTTGTATACGACGTCGCATTGTACGTTTCATGGAATCATCATTATCATAACTCTTCGCGCCAGTAGGCGAATAAGCCCTTCACCCCCTCTTTCCATCCATCTCTATCTCTTGCCAGTAGGCGCATAAGGCCTTCACCCCCTCTTTCCATCCATCTCTATCTCTTGCTGCCATTTTGGTTTCATTCCAAGTCTTCCATCCTTCGTTGTCCCTTTCTTTCAGCACCGTTGTTCTCCAAGTAGTCTTTGGTCTTTCTCTTGCTCTTCTTCCTTCGGGTGTCCATTCTAGAGCTATCAAACAGTCACTTTCACTTTCCCCTCTGAGGATATGACCGATCCAATTCCATCTTCTACGCCTAATTTCGTTACTGAGCTTATCTACTTCTGCCATTTCTCTGACCTTGTCGTCGTTTGTGACCTTCTCCCACCATCTTATCTTCGAAATATACCTTAGACATTTGCTTTGAAAAGTATTCAGTTTCTTTTCATCTTCCTTATTGATTTTCCAAGTTTCACAACCATATAGTAAACTATAGGTGAATGATAATGACTTTATTGAAACTCTCTATAATATATTACAATATAATAATTGGAAAAGAAAACATTTCTATAATATTAGTATTTACAATTAAGCAATAAAAATTATTCTGTGTGATCGATTTGTAAGATTTGATTAAAAAGGACTCATAAACTATAGGAACTACAATAAAATGAAATAGAAATTGAATAATAAAAAAAGA